ATGTGTATTTATGTATTGTTTGTCTTGAAAAATAAAACTTGTTTATAAAAAAAAAAAAGATCCTGGTCCTTGATGCCTTCACTCCCGTTTCGCTAATCAGCTGTCTAGATAAACCCTTATTTATCTATGAAATCTAAAATGACAAGATGAGGATCCTTCCTCTTCTCTGCAAAGGAGTGAGTCCCTTCTATCTGGCTACAGGCTTCCCTGAAGGAGGTGACCAGTTTGAAACCCGGGAGTGATTTAGACCAATGTGCCTTTGGGATGAAATGTCTATGGAGAATCTCCGTCATCCGGGTCATGATTGTCTCAAACTTTTCAAGAGGCAACTGGTTTTGCTTTGAAGACGTTTCACTTCTCATCCAAGAAGCTTCTTCAGCTCTGACTGGATGGTGGGGAATGGGTCAAAGAAGCCCTCTATGTCAAAACTTGAACAGCCCTCCCTCAACAAAGGGGGAAGGATCCGACATCATCTATCTCCGGTCTACAACACGGTCCTTTCAGCCGTTCCAAGAAGGCTCCGCACCCATTTGCACCATTCAGGGTGATCCTGAGAACACAGACAAACCTTCAAGTGGTCTCAATGTCTCTCTAAGAAGAAGGCAAATGACCAGCTGTCTGCAAGGAGTACAAATCCTTCCATTTACCAGCCAGCCAGCCAGAGCTGAAGAATCTTCTTGGATGAGAAGCAAAATTTCTTCAAAAGGAAAAACAAGAAAGTCCAGTTGCCTCCTGAAAAAGCACTTTTGGGACAGCCGTGACCTGGATGGCTGAGAATCTCTACAGACTTTTAGTTATACAATGTGGGATGAAGATCCTTGGAATGGCGTGGGAGGAGGAATGGATTTCCAGAGGGAAAAATTGCAGACTACAAGAACCAGGAGCACCACTCAGGTGACTCTGAGGACACAGACAAACCTCCAAGCGGCCTCAAGGACCCTCTAAAAGGATGCAAATGACCAGCTGTCTGCAAGGAGTATAAATCCTTCCGTTCCCCACCATCCAGTCAGAGCTGAAGAAGCTTCTCGGAGGAGAAGCGAAACGTCTTCAAAGAAAAACACAGAAAGTCCAGCTGCCTCTTGGAAGAAAAGAAAAAAGCACCTTTGGGACTTTGGGATGAAAGCAAGCAGAGTCTTGGAGCTGAGCCTAGATTCCTGAGTCAACTCGTATGCTTTGTGCAGCGATGGTGCAGGAGATGCGCGCCCCTCCCCTTCCTGCCCCCAAGGCATGGATTCGGAGAGACGGCGAGTGGGCGGTGGCTGTTGAGCATCTGAGATAATGTTGATTCAGCAGAAAGCAAGGTCTTCAAAGCATTGGATGTCATCCTTGCTTGCTCCCCAACGATCCCTTTCATTTGAAGCACTCTTGCACAGACCAAAATTTGCTGAGTGCAGGGCAGAAGCTGTTTAGAGCAGGGGTCTCCAACCTTGGCAACTTTAGAATGGAATGGAATGGAATGAAATAGAATAGAATAAATATTGGAGTGAAGAATAGAATAGAGTAGAATAGAATAGAACAGAATAGAATTCTTTATTGGCCAAGTGTGATTGGACACACAAGGAATTTGCCTTGGTGCAAATGCTCTCAGTGCACATAAAGGAAAAGATACATTCGTCAAGAGTCAAGAATCATAAGGTCCAAACCTTAATAATAGTCATAAGGTACAATAAGCAATCAAATCATAGTAGGAAACAGTCAATATAAATCGTAAGGATACAAGCGACAAAGTTACAGTCATACAGTCACAAGTGGGAGGGGATGGGTGATAAGGAGTGATGAGAAGATTAATAGTAATCAGGGGTGGGATTCTACCAGTTTGCACCTATTTGCTAGAACCGGTTGTTAGAAGAAATTACTGGCCTAATCCTGTAAGGAAAGCAGGAAGGAAACATTCTGGTGTTGCTAACAGAAACTGCCTCTCCGTTAACCCTTATTACATTCTTGGCATGACTAGACTTCCTGTCTCTGGAACTTCTCTGGAGGTTTTTTTTTCTCCTTTGCTGGTACTTTGCTTGTGTCGAATGACCATTCAAAGTTACAATGGCACTGAAAAAAGTGACTTATGACCACTTTTCACACTTACGAGTGTTGCAGCATCCCCACAGTCATGAGAGGCCAGGGGAGGAGATGCGTGCCTCGATGTGAGTGATGTTGAGTTGGCCACACCCAACCAATAGCATGACCACCAAGCCACACCCACCAACTAAGCCATGCCCACAGAACCGGTTGTTAAAAAATTTGAATGCCACCCCTGATAGTAATAGTAGTGCAGACTTTGTAAATAGTTGGACAGCGTTGAGGGAATTATTTGTTTAGCAGAGTGATGGCGTTTGGGGAAAAACTCTCCTTGTGTCTAGTTGTTCTGGTGTGCAGTGCTCTATAGTGTCATTTTGAGGGTGGGAGTTGACACAGTTTATGTCCAGTATGTGAGGGGTCTGTAAATACTTTCACATCCCTCTTTTTGACTCGTGCAATATACAGGTCCTTGATGGAAGTCAGGTTGGTAGTAACTGTTTTTTCTGCAGTCCAAATTATCCTCTGTGGAGTCTGTGTCTGTTCTGTTGGGTTGCAGAACCAAACCAGGCAGTTATAGAGGTGCAGATGACAGCTGACTCAGTCATTCCTCTGTAGAACTGGATCAGCAGCTCCTTGGGCAGTTTGAGCTTCCTGAGTTAGCAAAGCTGGCTGAGGAATTCTGGGAGTTGAAGTCCACCAGTCTTCAAGGGGCCAAGGCTGGAGACCCCTGGGTTTAGAGCACTCTTTGTGAAGGGTTGCTTCTAACTTTCCGGGGCTTTATTTCCTTGCAGAAGCAGCTCAAAAGGTATGGCTCTGATCCCCCTTTTTATCCTCCTGGTCCCTAGGGGCATTTGGAGGCTTCTGGGCTTCCTTCTGGCTGTGCTTTTCCCCATGGAAAGACAGGTGTTCTTGGACTGGAAGATGTGACTCTGGATCCGTGTTTCTCCATACCAGCAGCTTTCAAGTGTACGGACTTCCAATTTCAACCCTTTAACACCCAGGCCCAAAAGTTAAATGGAAATTAGTGTTGGACCAAAAATGATTGGAATGGCACTAAAACACACACACACACACAAGTTCTACATTGTGTAGTTGGTTCTCCCAATTCCCCCTAAACGTTCAATATATATTTTTTAAGGGTAATAAACTAAACAGACCATTTTTTTCCAGTGACATGCCTTCCCAGGCATGATGTTGGACCAAGGTTTTACAAAACACTAAGTGTTCCTCGAATTTCCTCCAAATGTTCTAATTGTTTAAATAAGATCATGAGATAAAATCGTATCCTAAGACTATATCAACCTTTTTTTCTTTTCTGTGGTTGGTTGCTGCTCAAACTCCACTCTCAAACCCCCTTCTGTGATGCTAGAAGAAAACAGCTGCGAACAGATTGACTGTATAAAAACGTCATTTGCAGCTCTGTGTTTCATCATTTTCAGAAACGACTCTGTTATACATTTCGGGAGCATCTGTCAGGACTTCTGTTTCTGTTGAGCCTTATTCATCTTTGCCTCTGCTAATTATTTGTCTTAGAACAGCATCTCTTGGGGCCCAAATATACTCTGCCACATTCTCAGGACCTTAATTAAGATGACGGCCAAAAAACAACAACAAAATTGAGAGTTAGCTTCATTCTGGAATTTTGGGGGCTCTCTGAGCTGGCTGGTTTGCTCACAGATGTTTCATTACCAGACCAGGTAGCATCTTCATGTTCAACAAAACATCTGCAAAAGAACTGCCAAGCTCAGAAAAGACCTAAGGAGGCCAACTCTGAGCTACCTAGAATCTCTTCTATTGGTATCTTAATTTTCCTGGTTGACAGAAAGCTGGAAGTCAAGTCAAAAAAGTAAAATCAAACAATCCACAAATACAATACCTGAGCAGGGTTCCTTCCTTCATCTTGCATTATCATTTAATTATAATTTTAATGAACCAGTAGTTACTTTAAAATCATGAAGAACATCTAGATCAGAAGAACATCTAGAAGAACATCTAGAAGAACATGTAGATCTGCTTTGCTGGCTGAGGAGTTCTGGGAGTTGAAATCCACAAGTCTTAAAGTTGTCAAGGTTGGAGACCCCTGATCTAGATCAAGGGTCTTCAAGCTTGGCAAGTTTTAAGACTTGTGGACTTCCAACTCCCAGAATTCCTGAGCTAACATGACCGGAGGAGGAATTCTGGGAATTGAAGTCCACAAGTCTTAAAGCGATTAAGTTTGAAGACTCCTGATCTAGATGGTCTCTAGGACTAAAAAAAAAAAAAAAGACTTGATGGCCCTTAATCAATCAATTTAAAAAAAAAACTCTAATGCCCTTCTCAAATATACAATCTCTCTTTACTTTCAGAGTCCTTCCAAGTTGTGGTGACAGGAAATGGCTTCCGACATGCCCGGAATGTGGATCGAGTCCTTTGTAGCTTCAGGATCAATGAGACAGTCACCCTCAGTAAGTTATCCTGCTTGTCCTATCAACCAAACAACCCTGCAGGTCTAATGGTTTTATTTACTTGTTTTGATTTCTTAAGGACAATGAAAACAAAACTGGCACCCCCACCAACATGATGGTGATGATAATAATGTTGTCAGTTGATGGTGATAATGATGATGATTCCAATCTTAAGAATGGTTGTGTTTCATTGTTGATTTTTGTGGAGTTTGTGGCATGGACTGAAAATCCTTCGCAGAAGGAAGGAGTGCTGTGGCTTGGCTTTCCCTGACCGAGTTCACTCAAGTGTCCTTGACACAGAGAAGAAGGTTGGTAGGAATCCAGAGTTATCTCCAGAGTATGGTCAAAAGAAGGCAAGACGGTGGTGGCTATGGTGTTCCCCATGAGATGCGCCCAAGCATGGGTAGAGCTTCAGTCTCAATTGTTGGAGGCATCATCTTGACTTTTCCACCTGTACCCTGGGGTCCCCTCTGGAACTCATCTGTTGACAAATGCTGGCAAGGGAAGTACTGGTGTTCAGATCAACCGCCTTCTCCCTTGTTGCACTTGAGAACAAGGACATGGACATCCCAAAGGTGCTTTTTCAAGAGGCAACTGGACTTCCTGGTTTTTCTTTGAAGACATTTCGCTTCTCATCCAAGAAGCTTCTTTGAGCTGAAGAAGCTTCTCGGATGAGAAGCCAAATTTCTTCAAAGAAAAATCAGAAAGTCCAGTTGCCTCTTGAAAAAGCACCTTTGGGATGACCATGACCTGGAGGACTGAGAATCTCCACAGACAGAATCAGAGGTTAGAAACTTAAAAGGGGGGAAAAAAGAAGGATTGTGTCAGCTTTGGGAGCTACGTTCATACCAGAAGCTTCCACGCTGCCACATTCCTGTGCCTGGGAAAGTAGGAGGGGGCAACTGTAGAGTGTTGGTAGTTAGACATAATCGCATTCTTCTCTTCGGTCAAGGTCATGTTATTCCTGCACCTGGAGGAGGAGTGGTTGAAGGGATGCCTCTAGCTGGGGTGGATGGGGATTGGACCCTGGGATGGACTGATGGGTGCAAGGGGTTGGTTTTGGACTTTTGAGTTACTAAGGGACAACCTGGAACTCTCAGATTCGTGTTTTCCCAGATGCGCCAGTATAACTACTCTAATAAAAGGAAACTTTGAGAAGATGCCTATCTCTTTGAGTTTTTAATTGGAGTTTTTCTGGAACGCTGACAGATTGATCATATAAGAAAAAATATATATGAATAAGTTAATGTTATTTTAACTACAGAACTATTATTAATATTAGACCCATTAAGATTCCTTTTACATTGATCGTCTTTCTGTGATTATTCAAAATGAATTGTACTCTGACAACACACTGTTCAGATAGATCTGGAATTTTTTATGTTATTAAAGGAAAATGTATTAATAAAACTTATGATATTAAAAAAACCACTTAAAGATAAGAACCACCCTTTGGATGGGACACCAGAGCCAACTACTCTCAGTTAGGTGTTATTTTATGCTGGTGGGATTGGCCCACCAGTATCCCTTGTCATGGGGAAGCTTCCTGCAGCTGGCAAGACCAAGAACTACACCCATTTCAGGGAGGGGTCTTTAATGCTTGTCCAGATACAAACCAGAATCTTGGAAGCTGCTCAAGGAGTGTCCAACCCTCGTTTATAGTGAGATCATGAAGGTGGAGACCTTTGAACGACTTGAAATGCTTCTTCGTGGATTTTTCTCCACATGAGCTGAGTTGCCATTTATGAGATCAGCAGCCGTTCCATTCCTTTCCCAGTCCTTCCATGGTCATCCCCATGTTTTACAGCTTCCAGCATGCTCCAAAGATAAGCACCCAGTAGAGGGTGTTGCAGGAGTCCAGAAACGAGGACATCACCCTGCTTTCAGACAATGCCTATGAGGAGAAGCCGAGCATCAATTGGTACTGACTCCAGTTTTGGTCACTGCACTATAAATAAAGATGTTGAGACACTAGAAAGAGTGCAGAGAAGAGTGACTAGGATGATGAGGGGACTGGAGGCTCAAACATACAGTTGCAGGAACTGGGCATGGCTAGAGAAGAGAAGGACCAGGGGAGACATGATAGCCATCTTCCAATATTTTTGAGGGGCTGCCACAGAGAAGAAGGAGTCAACCTGTTTTCCAATGCACCTGAAGTCCAGACAAGGAATAATGGATGGAAACTGAACAAGGAGAGATTCAACCTAGAAATAAGGAGAAGTTTTCCTGAGAAAACAATCACCAATGGAAGAGAAGTTGCCTTCAGAAGTTGTGGGAGCTTCATCACTGGAGGCTTTCAAGAAGAGATCGGACTGCCACCAGTCAGAAATGGTGTAGGGTCTCCTGCTTGGGCAGGGGGTTGGACTAGATGACCTACAAGGTCCCTTCCAACTCTGTTAATCTATTAATCCACATTTTTCTGATGCTGTTCTCTCTCGGTGCTCATACCCTGTCTGGTTCTAGCTTTGGATGTGGCATAAGAATGCAAAGAACTTGGGAGTAGTCCTGGGGGGAGATCAAGCTTAGTAAAAGTGAGTGATAGGAAGGCACCTAGGGGTACAGACTGCCATGTGGCTCAGCCCCTGGCTCCATTCTACAGGTCGTAAGTTCATGTAACATGCAAGAACTATAGTAGCAAACGCAAAGAAGTTTGCACTCTGCTTGGAAATAGATGAACCAAAAACGGTGACCACTGGAATGCCCATGAAAACCCCCGGGGGAAAAACTCCAATCTCAGAGGAGCCTTGAAACAAGCCAAGTTTGAACCTTGAGTAACACTCGGGGAAAACCAAAGGAAGCTTTTCCGGTGGTGACATTTACCCATGAAAACTGCCATCCTTGTGGGAAGAAAAAGGAGCGATTTTGCTGAAGTGTGGAAATGGATAGAGAAGCCACAAAAAAGACCACAAAGAAAAGAAAAAAGAAACAAAGGCAAAAACTGCAACTCTAGGTAGATCGAAGAGGCCAAGAGCCCAACAAGGAACATTTTTGAATTAAAAATGAAAGGGAAATGTTAAGAGAGGAAGAAGAGATTCTTCCAAATGTAAGCATGTTTTTCCCAGCCGGTCGTGCTGAATCTCGCCTTGTTGCTTTTTTCCTTCTTCTTGTAACTGTTTGTGTGGGAGGTTTCTGTCTTCTGTCAAAGATATTCAGAGCTTGGAAGCAAAGTGAAGGAATAAAAGGGGCGTCACCTGTTTTCTGTGACTGTGTTTGTTTTGTATCCCACCCTGGGTCATCACAGCTCGATTGGTGCAATCAGTAAAGTTCCTAACATCCCCATGGATGGAATTGGGTTGATAGCAGACAATGCAAAGATGCAGAGACCCCCAAACCACTTGAATTATTTTAAGCCTTCTTTCCCCAGTTGTTGGTAATGGGGGAGTTCCTGGTATGGAGAAACCTTGAGAATAAAACCATTTATTGAGGCAGGAGCAAAATGTCTCTATTTTAGAGGTTGTATCTGCTGTAGTGGATAGCAGAGAATCCAAAAGGCAGATTTACGCACAGTACGGCTTCAAAAGACAGGTGGGAAGTCAAAGAAAGCTCAAAATCCCTTTCGTATCGGGAGACCAAAAAGTGCTGATCACGATGAACAAAGATGTTGCTGAGTCAGCAATCAAAAGTATTTTCCAATTTTATGGATCTTATCTATCAGGAGTTCACATGCTGAATGTTATTGATCAGAGCCCCCCCTGAATCGGAAGCAGGCTTCTCCAAGTTAGCTTTAGTTTCTGGCGAAGGATTATGGGAAATGAAGTTTCTGCACATCTGGAGCACACCATGAGGGCTAACATTGAGGCGAGCTAAAACCAGCCTCCCAGAACTCAGGCTAAATATTTTCCCGTTTGGAAACTCAGAAGATTTTGAAATCGACAGTGGTCCACCTTTTGAAGGACTCTTCCAATTCTGCAAAGTTTCCTCTCAGGAAAATAGCACCTCCTTTGCCTCAAACAGCTGGAGAAATAGAAAGATTTGCAGGAACCCAGCACAGACCTCAACTGTTGAAAAAAAACACAAGAAGGAAATAAGAAAATGTAGTTGCTTCTATATAACTAGGCAACCACATCGCCCAAAACACCTGGCTGGGTTCCAGGAGGTATAACTTCCAAGAGAAACATTGGCATCCAATTTCCATGCTCGTCCTGGGCAAGAGATTTCTGACCAAATGCCAATAAGATGAAGCAAATGGGGGCCTTTTTCCTACTTACGCCTAACTGTGGCCCAAACATGGACTGGCAAACCCCTTTTATCTGCCATGTTCCCATGAGATGGCTTCCATCTGCCCCCAGCTCATGAACCAGAGATATTTATGATATCCGTGGTTTCAAAAAAAGTTGAAACGCATCACATACCTCGGTTCTAATTTACATGAAAGCTGGGACAGGACCCCTGAAGTAAAGACAAGGACAGAGAAAGCTTGAAGAAGCATTCTTCAAAACGAAAAAGGCCTCCTGCAATCACGACATAAGCCCAAGGTTGAAAATCAGGCCTGTCAGATGCTCCATCTCTTCTATCCTGCTCTACGGAGGGGAGAATTGGTCTCGGACAGAAAACCACTGGAAGAGACTAGAAGCATTTGAAATGTGGATTTATGGGCGGCTGTTACGGTTAAGTTGGGTTGACAAAATCAGAAATGAGGAGGTGATAAGCTGCCTGGGGAAGCCAAGGGAAATCATCAAAGCTATCAAAAAGCAAAAGTTCAAATATTTCAGACATGGGATGCGACACCTGGAAAAATACGGCCTACGTCACTTAATCCTCCAGGGAAAGATTGAAGACAAACGAGGTCCAGGCAGAAGAAGAACATCAAGGCTTCAAAATTTAAGGGACCATTTTGAACAAAATTCAGCAGCAGCGTTTCGTGCGGGCTGTGGATAAAAATAGGATCGCCAACGCAATCTCCAATATGGCACAAGAAGAAGAAGAATCTCTTTGATGCCCTTCGATTACGTTGCTGCCTGACCAACTCCATGGAGCAGCTGCAAAGAAAGGACAGGAAG